ATTTAAGAGTTATTTATATAAATATTAATTGAATGAATAATTAATAAAATACTCCACATGATATTTATAAAAATTTTATTTAAAATTTATTTTGTCCAACAATTATTTAATTCTACATTTCTAATAAGAAAATTCGGCTTTCTTAATTTTATGTTAAAATTATGAATAAATTCAAATATAGAAACTAATTAAATTTCCTATATTTTATGGGAAATTATTTAAATGCCAATGTACATAACTTTTTTGTAAATTGAAAACTATAATTAATAGTTAAATAATGTTTAACTTAGCTTTAAATATTTATTTATGTGAGTATGATACCTACTTTATTGTCTACCTAATAGATTGAATAAAATGTTGTTATATTCAAAAATACTCAAATGTAAATCTGAACATAATATATAAGAAAAAAAAAACAAAAAATATCAACTAAAATTATTCCTTTTCTAAAATATTTCAAATTTATCTTGATTCTTTATTAAATATGTTTTCATTTAACACTATTGCTTTTAGCTTTCTAATTTGCTTATGTAGTTAATACCATTTAAGTTAATATACTATGATTATTTTTTACAAACAGCATTTTTTTTTTTTTATTAATTATGTATCTAATAAAGAAAATTATATTTTGCTTAAAATTTATTTTGAACAAATAAATATTTTACCTATTTATTAAAGTTTGTTTTTATAATCAGTAGTAAAAAACTTTAAGTGGATAAATAATTTTTTTTTAAATTTCGACTTATTAATGAAAAATCACCAAGAATTTTTATTTGTTCAAGAAATGTTAGTAATTAATATTTTATAAATATTTTAATGATGATTTTGAATAATACATAATTCTTATATACTATGATAATAACAAAATAAATACTTTGATTTTCTGTTGTTATTAACTTAGTATTTATTCAATAGGATCTATGATTGACTCCTTATTCAAAGTGAGTGGCCAGTTTCCATGTCCAAAATGTGAAAAGTCATATATGCATTTAAGAAATTTGCATAGACATTTGAAAAATGAATGTGGCATTGAACCATCTTATCAATGTCCTTGGTGTCCAAAAAAATGTAGATATAATTTTACACTGAAATCTCATATTTATGGTAAACATTCATCAACATCAGCTATGTCTATATGATAGTTGAACATACTTATCACATAGGTACATTTATGTATTATTTTAATAATAAAACAATATTAGATTGATACTAATAATTAATAATCAATATTTGAGTGTTTTTTAATAAAATATTTATATTAAGTTATTATTAGCTTTAATCTTGGTGTTATATTTATTAATTTTATTTCAATTTTTCTATTATACTGAAATGTGTAGTTATCATAATTTGAGATTTATCTTGTGACTGACTTATTTATTTTAACTTTTTATAATTATTATTTTATATATATTTTGTAATATACTCAACAACTACACTATTCTTACTGTTTAATTTAAATAAAAATAATTTGTATGTATGATCATTATTTGAAAAAAAAATGGTTCTGTTTATATTTAAATAGTATCTAATACATTATAGATACTAATTTATACAATTTTAGTTTGTGCCCTTAGAAAATACCCCAAAATGTTGATTGATCTCTTAAACTTAAAAAAATTGTTTTAAAACAACATTTTTATTTTTGTTTATAAAAATGTTGATGATTATAAATGTATAGTGTAAATGTCAAATTAGAGTTGAATAATTAATAAATATTGGTATTAAGTATAAACTTTAAACCATTTTTTGTAAAAATAAATTAAATTTTCTGTATTTAAAAACAATCCTAGAAAATTGATATTGTTACCAAATATTTAGTATAGGTATCATTTTCTAGAACTAATGTGTTATGTAGATTTAGGTATTTTAAATTTTCTAATTATGTTGGTAGAATTTTAATTACCCGTTCAAAATCTTTTAAAATGTATTACAAAATTCTTTTTGAAATCCTAAGTTTTTCCTATAAAATCTTTAAATAAATAAATATGGCCTTTTAAAAATCTACATAATGAATATTTCAAAATATTTGAATTAATTTTAAATTATTGAACCATTCTATGGTAAGTCAGTATTGATTTATTTGTAATTAAAATACAAAAATATGTAAGTGTATAAATATGTACTATATTTTTTGAACATAATTTTTAATTTACTGAATAATAAAAAAATAATAATATTATAAATATAAATTAATTTTAAAATTAGATCTAATCATATCCTTTGTTCGGAATCATGAATAAACAGAAATGATTCATAGAATTCAAAATTACAAAGTCTATACATACATGCATATATATTTATAGTAACTACTTAGTAATTGTTTTGTCGTTAATATTTTTTTTCAAAATTATTTGTATTACTAACAATTAAAAGTTTAAACTAATTGAAGAAAAATTTGAACTAAGTTATGTGTTAGAATTTTTAACTTCCTATAATCTTAAATTATTTGTTTAAATAGAAATTGTTTTGATTTATTTTTAGGTATTAATTAAGTGTAAATTATAATATAGTATTAGTATACCTACTCGTATATACTTACATATATTTATGTTATATGTTAGAGAGTTACTGAATTTTCAGTTTTATTATTTTTTTTTTTAAACATTTATATTTATTTATTTTTTTTAACGCCTTTATATTTGGTACTGACAAGTATTGTGTAAAAGTTTCAAGTGGTATAAATTTCCTAGTTAAATGAGTTTTAATATTAAAGTTGTTTAGTAACTATGAAGTTGTTATCAAGCTATGAACTGTTTTCTTATTATTCTTAAACTAAAGATAATTGTTATCCAGACATATTAATAAAAGAGGTTTTTCTTCTTTATTGCAGTGTAAGGTAGAGAGAGTGTGGATGAAAATCAATCAATATGAATTACATACTACTATCTGGTATAAGATACCTAAGAATGTTTTTGTATAACTGTGGAGAGGTATAATCTCCCAAAATCCATTATTTCTGTTTTCGTCCTCTTAATAATCAGTTAATTTTAATATTTTTCTGATGGTTAAAATTCTGATGGAATAGCTTTTTAAACTGAGATAAATTATAAACATATTAAAAACTAAATTTAGATTGATATTTTTGATGATGACTTATGGAAAAAAAAACCATAAAACATATGTGTAAAATAAAATATCTTTAACTATTTTAATTTCCTTTCTTTTTTTTTACAGTTAATTATTATTATTGTGTTAACTCTAGAAATGGTTCTGGTGATAATATTTTTTGTCCACAGTGTGATCGAACTTATCGTCACAAAACTACTATGTTAACTCATATTAAATATGAATGTAACGAAGAGCCTCAGTTTGTTTGCACATTTTGTGGAAAAAGCATTTACTATTCTTCAAACTTCAAGAAACATTTAGGACTAAAATATATTGGTTGGAATAAATAAAAAAATTATTAATCTGAATAATTACAGAAGACAAATTATAGTTATATTGTTCCTTAACTATGTATGTACCTTGTATGACTAAAATACTTATTTAATTTTTACTATTTCTATAGTTAAAATATATTTTTATTTACTTTTATATTCTGACTAAACTCTATTAATGTTAAGAAGAAACTTCAATCCAGCTAGTTTTTTTAAACGGCAGTCAACCAATACTTACAAGTTAGCTGCAGAGAGTTATTTTTAACTAGAAATAGAGTAAACAAATCATTTTATGCTATTTTAAATACTTTTAACTATTTAATTATATTATTTTAATAATAATATTATAAAATATATGTTATTCTAGTGCAATATCTAGTTATATCCTAAGACACATCTAATTGATTAAAACATGAATTTCAAGTGAAATAATAAATGTAATCTATCTTTTTTTATTATTTAAAAATAATCAAATGTTTTAAATTTTGGATATAAATTTAATTATATGAAATGAATAAATACTTATGATTGTTACTTTTTAGTTATTATAAGTTTATTTATTTGTGTTTTAGTAAACACTATTGAGTACTCAGTAAATTAATTTAAAAATAACTAATTTTTTTCTAAATCTTATTTTTCAAAATCCCCATTTAATACACCTAATTACAATAATAAAAATATTTATTCAGTGTATAAATTTATTTTTATGAAACATTTACCAAGTCAAAAAAATGTTAACTAAGTTGGGATATCTTAAAGTAAGAGTAAAATTGTGTATATATACTTTTTATTTGCATAATTTTATTTGTAAATAAAATTTAAATAAAAATATTAAACATTTAGAAAAAAATTTGAATAAAGTATTTTATTCTAAACCTGTATTTTTTAAAACTGGTAAAATACATCAGAAATAGGACCAGTTTCTGATAAATATTGAAACGTGAATTTTAACAAAAACATATTTGATGCAGTATATAAATACATATTAATTTTTTTTAGAAGTATGTATTGTGGTGTAATTATAAAAACTGTAAAGCTCTAATGCTAAAAAATAAAAGTAATAAGTCTCTTTAAATTAAAAAAAAATTAATTAATTATCTACTTACTCATTAGACATTTCAAGTATATCTGAATATCCTACTATGCATTTTAAATAAAAATTATCTTCTGCTTTTATGATCCTGTGACTTTATAATTTTGTAGCTTAAAAGGTTTTTAAAATGTATCAATAAATAATACATTTCTTAATTATGTTAATCAAATAATACTTATGGAAAGTGCATAATATGTCTAGTTGTATGTATGTATATTTTATTTAATATGAGTACCATATACAACTGTTTACAAATGTGGCCATAAATACAAACACTAAAGGGGATTATCAGTTGTCAAAGATATGAATACAATATTTCAATACTTAGCTTACAAATATGATTTACTGTATTTTTTGTTCAACTTCTTGCAGAGTTTTATCCATAATAGAAAATAACAATTTAATGTAGTGCATGTGCAAAGTATGATTTTTTTTTTTTTTTGCTTCATAATTTTACTATTTTATGAATTTCTTATTGCACCCTTCCTTCATCTAAATAATAATGATAATGATAATTTTCTTAGTTGTGTTTATAAAATAAATAATAACAATTTTAATTTTTTTTTTTTGAAGTTGGTTTCACACTTCACTGTGTCATGAGTTATTTGTTAACTTTTAAATAACTTGTTACCAACTTTTTTCACTGATGTCTTAATACTAAACATAACCTTGACACTATGTAATGTGGGACCAGCTGAAATGTTTAATATGTCTAATTTTATGAAAATATGAATGTATATTTTATAGGTAAAAAATATAGTTGTTTACGATGTGAAAATAAATACAAATACAAGAGAGAATTAATTCAGCATCAAAGTAATATGTGTGGTGTTCCTCCTAAATTTTATTGTAGTAAATGTCAAAAGTTTTTCAAACAATCTACTAATTATAAGCTTCACATGATGAAAATACATTGTAATTTTAATCAATAATAATATTAGATCACAATAATTTACAAATATTTTGATAGCTTCATAAACTTTATAAATTATTTTAACCTTAATAGGTGGTTTTCAATATAATATTGATTGTTAGTTTATGTATTTTAAATATTAATAAAATGTTATATAAATTAAATTTTTTGTATTTAATTGATTTTCAATTTATTTATTATATTTTTTTTTTCTATAATTTATAAATTATATTGATTTGCACTTGGCGTACTAATGTCTTGCTATATTTTTTTAAGCTATACTGTAAGTCTAATGATTTTGTAAAATGCATGTATAGGATAAGTATATACATTTTTTTTCTTACTATCTTGTAGAATTGCTTATAACTGCCCCTTTTACCCACAACATAATAATAGTATTATTAATAATCCATTACTTAGTAGTGTTGGTTAAATAAATAAAAAAAAAAAATCTAAATCATTATGTCATGTAAAAATCTGAGTTGAATATATTTAAATTTTGTCAATTGTTTTAAAATTATGTATTAAATGTAGAACATAAGTCGACACAGTATAGTATGATATCAGCTAAAGTATATATTAAATCTAATTTTATGAATGTATATATTTTAGGTAGACTATATAGTTGTTTACAATGTAACTATAAATACAAATACCAGAGAGGATTAATACAGCATCAGAATTATGATTGTGATGTTCTGTCTAGATTTTATTGTAACAAATGTCAAGAATCTTTCAAACAACAAAATAGTTATAGGTATCACATAATGAAAATACATTTTGACTTTATTTAATAACACAATTAATAATGACAATAACTTATCATTATCTTATTTGTTTCACAATTATTAACTTTTTTTTTAATCTTTATTGATGATTTTCTTAGTTGTTAATGGTTCTAATATGGTTTTAAACAATAAATTTATAAGTAATTTTCAAATTTTTTTAAATGTAAATTTATTTTTAATAGAGCTATATAGTTTAATTATCATTATTTAATTTCTATAATTTATAAATTGTATTAGTTTGTACGTTTCTTACAAACATAACAGTGATGAAGGCAGCCTTCTCCCTTCACTTCATTGAGTCTAAATTAGAATTTTTTTTTTCATAGAGTTTAATAGAAATAGTACATAGACTTATATATCTATTAATCAAAATGTAGTATTGATCATTATGATTTTTATAAGTAAATAGGTACTTATCTCAAAAATAATTTACAAACTAATTATTCTTAAGGATTTTTTATTATTTCTTAATATATTTATAATCTGAAAAACATTTTTTATGATTAAAAATTATAGTCATGGACATAAAATACAATTAGTTAAAACTTAAAATGATAATTTTCTGCTATAGTTATAATAATTTACCCACTGTTTAATTAAATTCATTAATATTAAATTTAGTATTTTAGTTGATAATCACCAATATATCATGGATTCCTGGTTTTTGTATTTAAAATAATGAATTTACAATTTATATAATAAAAGTAAACATATATTAATTATGTTTTTCTTTTTTAGCAGTACTAAAATATTTATTACATTGTTTTTCTATAGTTTGAAATTATATTGTATAAATATAATTATGCTACATGCACACAACTATGACTTGAATTAAAACTATTTATAAATATGTTTTTTTGAAATTTTTAAGGATTTCTAGTTCTCTCAACCCTTTTCTAAAAATAAAATAAAAATTTATTTGTTACTATGTATTCAATGTACTCAATAGTAATAATTAGGTATTATTAAGCATAAAAGATATCTTTAAGTATTAATTTTATTAATAATTATAATATCTTGATTTTTTATTTAATAATAATCAATTTTTATTATTTTTAACTTTTTAGTTAATTATTATTTTCCCTATAATAATATGAAGTCTAAATTATAAAGTAATATTTTTTTTTATATTGTATGATTTTGCACAATAATAAGTAATAATTAATACATAGGTTGAAAAGGTCAATTACTTTATGTTTCTAGGTATTGATGCTCTTAACTGTTCATAACATAAAATTTTAAATTTCCTTTTTCTATGTAAATTATTTGTTATTATTGTTATAATGTTTATTTTATGTCATAGAAAGAGTATAACGTAATAATATATTATAATATGATACTATTAAAAATTAAAGTTAAATACCAAGCGTCATAACTTTCTAACATTTAAAACAGATACAATTACTTGTAATTTTGGATTAAAACAATATTATTATTCACTTATATTTGGATCAACAGAATTATTTTTTTAATTTATTAAAATTAAAGTAAAAATTACTGTATGACAGTTCATTACTCAAAGGCCTCTTGTATGAGATGTTTTGGAAGGAACCTATTGACATTTTTACTTACATAAATTTATTACTTAAATAAAAAATATTTTTAATCTTATGAACAATGGTTAGGATTTGGTGTTTTTGATTGTTTTTTTTTTATAGTGGAGGTAATCTAGTCAAAGATATATTATGAAAACTTGGGCTAAAATTATTTGGATATGGTAAAGATAGGATAAAGAGAAAAATCATTTTAACAACACATTGTTTATTTTTTATTAAAATATTAATTTTGCTCTTTTCTCCACAATAATTAAGAGATATTATATGTAGCTAGGATATTTTAACTTTTTCATAAACTGTATTAGGATACTAACAATTTAAATCTACACTAGTTCCTAAATTTTTCATACTATAGCTAAAAACTTGAATTGCTTTTTACTAGTATTACATAATATATTTTATATTATTTTTGTGTGTTCTTACCACATGTTACATTTTATTTATTCATAGCTATGAAAATAATGTATAATGGAGAATTTGGATACAAATGTCATAATCAAAGCTGTGGTCGTATTTACAAGACAAAACCAGGCATTCACAATCACCTAAAGTATGAATGTGGTGTCTCACCAAAATTCTATTGTAAATTCTGCAAACGATTCTTTAAACAACCAGTATCATATAAGGCACATATGTTAAATATTCACAAACAATTAATTAATTTTAAATGAGAATTTATCAATTTAACAGTTATATTATTATTTTTTGTAATCTATTTCTTAATCCATTAAAATATTATTTTTATTTTCAGATTATGTACAAAATTAATTTAAAAGAAAAATAATTATATTTTATAAAATATCATTTGTCAAAGTTTTAATAATAATCCAAAGTTGTTTTAGTAAATAAAATCACAAGTAAACATTTTTTATAAATTAAATTAAGAATTATTTATTTATTTGTTTTGTTATGTTTTAATACTGAAATAAATACATTAATTTACTATGAATACAATTACATGGCTGATTTTTTTTTATACTGCTATACCTATTATTTTTTCTTTCTAATGTTTAATTTTACCTGATTGATTATATTCTATTTCAAAAGAGAATATTTGGTCCACTAACCAATTTAACCAAACATAATCAATTTAATTCTAACAGGATTGTTGGTTTCAGTTTGACATAAGTGAGTAAGACTGATATCAGTATGGCAATAGTTGTCAGTCAATATTCCAAACATCTGGATATTTTCATTTGGAATATTTAAAAAAAAATGTATATTTATATGTTTATACATATTGACATGCAGGATTATACTGTAAATGACTCAATGTTTGTAAGGTTTCTGTAAAAGCATATTAAAGTTTGAATTATAATTCTTCTAATATTTTTTGATTTTACTGAAACTTGTGACAACTAATTATTTATAAAGAACTTAAGCATGGGTTTTCATATATTTTACTGTACTTGTCTGTTAATTGTGATTTATGTTGCAATTTAATTTTAATTGTTAGTAATTATATTATTTTGTATTTTGATGTTATTTTATATTTTTTCTCCTCAGAGTATAATTGTGAAAAATGTCAAAAAAAGTACAAAAATGTTGGTAGTCTTAGAAAACACATTTTAAACTACTGTGGTCTACAATTTTTTTGTAATATTTGTCAAGGAGTTTTCACTCGAAAAGCCCATCTACAACTTCATAGAGCAGTGAAACATGGGGTTTTAATGGAATAAATTCTTTGTATAATACTAAATAAATATTTGAATATTATATATTCACGTGTTTAATTAAAATTTCATGTTTATACAAATTAATAATCAAATATACTAAATTAATTATATTGTTTTATTAATTGTGTAACAATATAGGCATGTAGGTATGTTGCACTTGTATTTTTATAATTGTATGAAATAGGTATTATAAAATTGTCATGTATAGTTATTATAGTTATTAATAGTTTTTTTATTTTTTAAATTCATTATTTAAAATTTTATAATGTTATAACTGTATCTAAATATAAAAATATGAATTAAATTTATTGCTTTTTTAGTGCTTATCTTATTACTTTTTTTAATGGTTTCATTAGACAAAAAATAAAAAAATGTTTTAAACTTTTTGTATGTTATAGTTTTTTATTTTACTGTTATTTTTATGTCTGAAATTGATCAAGATTACATATAAAAAGTTATGTGTAGAAACACATAACTAACTTCTTTAAAATTCTTTCAATTTATGGTCTTTTATTAAATTTATTTTTATATATAAATATCAACAAATTAATGATTTTAACTAATTTCATTTGTTCTTTTTAATAGGGGAACAAGTATTCATCCATAATGCAAATATGAAGTCTCATTTAAAAAATGGCCAATACCATTGTCCCAATCAGTGTAGCAAACATTATAGAGAAGTTGTGGATTGCGTCAACAATGCGATGTGATGCATAGATTAATTTATTTTTTTATGTATGAAATGTTACAATTGTAAATACAGAATTAATCTTCATATGGCGAGCATACATTATGTTTTTCTTAACTGTTGATATAGATGAAAATACATATTTTTGATTACTCAACTGATAAATATAAGTATTTTATATGTATTTATTGTTCTAGCAAGTTTATCCATTAGTTTTTCAAATAAATTCTTTTATTATTTTTTTAACATACCTGCCTAGCTTAAAATTTATTGGATTTGTGATTAAAATTGCACTTTTATAAATATTAATTCATAAATTGTAGTGTTATTTGTAATATTTATAAGTTTTAGGTAATATTAAGTAGGTAGATACTAGATACCTAGTGATAGTGTTTTGTATAATAATTGTTTGTCATTTAATATTTGTATTAAGATAAATTTATCAATGACTATGTAACTGTTATACTATTATCATGTAACTGATTTTTTTAATTTTGTAGTTGCATGTATTGCATAAAATATAGTTTTTCTAAATTGTATTAGTATCGAACATAATAATTAATGTTACAGATATTAGTTCCCGCTTCCTGTGTCCAAATTTATGTGGTCGAAGTTACAAATATAAGCGGGGAGTGTACACTCATGTGAAATTTGAGTGTGGTGTGGAACCCAGTTTTTTATGTTCATTGTGTCCAAAGAAATTCGCTAGAAAGTTTCAGCTAGAAAGTCATTTGGTGTTGAAGCATAAAGTTGTTAAGATAAGATGTAATTTTACAAATTAAATTTAGTAGTTGTCAAATTTACTATGAATACAATCTGTTGTATATTTATGTAAAAAAAAAATATGTCTACCAAAAGTTCATCATTATGTAATTTGTTAATGTTAAATTAAATACCTATACCTCTAAAATATACACATTCACATCGTTATAGTTTTTACTGTATATAAATAAGTGCTTATTATTATTGTATGTAGTTAATGTTTATACAAATGTTTCGTTCTACATTTATATTATATTATTAAATAAAGTTAGTTATATTATTAATTTTGTTTAACTTAAATTGTATTTTAATTATAATTTATTAAGTTGCTTTTTATAACTTTGTTCAAAATCTGATTAAAGTTATAGTTATAAAGTAATTATGATTGTTCTAGGTCATGGAACTAGTGATTATGGTTAAATTGTATTTTATTTAACCATGGTAGTGATCATATGTGAATGATCTTATAAAAATTGAACATGCATCATATATTTTTAAATTATACTAATTTTCTGTAACAAATTATGATATATTTATATTTTATAAATTTTTATATCTCTTAGATATTGATTTTAAACTTTCATATTGTTCAGTCTAAAGATCAAAATATTTTTTTTTGATGAATTATATAGTGTAATATTAATAGTAGAAGATATTACTTTGCTTTACTTCTTAATAAGACCATAAACATATATACACACACGCATAAAAATTACATATCTACTGTAAGTACATATTTCTTGTGCTAATATCAAATAAAAATAAGATATAATACTTGTTTAGCAGAGCAAAACTTAAAACAGTTTACTTAAAATACTGATATAACAAATTTAGAACATTATTTTTATATTTTCAATTTAATTTAATAGAAATAAAAACTATATTTTTATAAAGTTTGGTATGAAACTATATAAATTTATAATTTATGTTCATTATATTATTTTAAATATGTAATTTGTAGTTCATTTATTTATAAACCAATATACTTCTTGTTAGACTTTGATTATTAAATATTCAATTAAAATATCAGTGGATAAAAAAATAACTGAATGACAATTAAATTATAATTTTTTTTTAATTATATAGTAAAATCTTTTATTAGAAGTGTAATTATCACATTATTATGAAATATTTTATAAACGATAAATGTTTGTCATTATTTCAGTAACTGTCATCATTGATATTAAAGTTGGTATAAAAGCTTAATAAATGAATGCTTTGCTTGCCACATATTATGAAATTGTTTGATAGTTATTATTTTATAGGCGTTTTGGACTCAACAACAGTATTTAGTTTGTTTATTGACTTATTGATTATTATTATTATTACTTTTGTTTATCATAACTATCATTATTATTAATTGTATTATTATGTGTTGTTGGCATTTTATCTTTATTTTAAAAATAATTTTGTTTTTATATTATAGGTATATTTAAAAACAGTGAACGAATCAGTTGTCCAAATGGATGCGGTCGTACATACAAAAATAAGATATCTTTGCAATGCCATTTAAGAAACGAGTGCGGTACTCAACCTAAGTTTTTTTGTCCATTTTGTGATAAAAAATGTTATCAAAAATCGAATATGAAATCGCATATTGTTCAAGTACACAAAACCTTCTGCAATATAGAACCAATTGCGCCATTACCATCATTACGTGGTCGCAGAAAATTTAATAATTAATTAATTTAACAACTGAAATCTCAAAATTACTGTGTTTGAAGACATAAAAAGCAATTAATTTGTGTAAGTGTTTTATTTATGTAAGAGTTAAAATGCTGCCTGATGTGTAGATTACATTTTTTAATTATTTAGTTTGCCAATATGTCTATAGGTATCCACAGATCTTGAGAGGGCAAAGTAATCAAAAAATTCATAAATAAATTATAATACAACAATAAAAAAAAAAATTATATTTTCTATAAAATAGTATTAAAAAATTTAAAAATAAATTTTTGTTTAAAAGTCTCTTATTTTAGAATAAAGTAAAATGTGCATTTTTTTCAAATTTGATTTTTATACCTGGAAGATGACTTAATGTACACTCATAGATAGATTACATCTAGTTCAAGGTCTAAATAAACATATTATACAATATTTAAATTGAATCATAGTGAAAAAGATTCTTATTTTGTGGCTGTTTGATATCTATACAAATTTACACTCGCAAAACAAAATATTACCTTTGTTGTTTTTATAAGTGCCTAATTTTTTGAATTATTTGTTAAAGCTGTTTACTACTTATATTTAAAATTATTTATTGAAGTGTTATAATTATATGTCTATTCGGAGTAATTAATATCAACTATTGTCAATTTCTTTAAAATAAAAGTTATGATTAAAAAGAACTGGTAATAATAAAGTGCAATCCTAATACCTTTATTTTTAATTTTTTTTTTATTGCTTTTCTTAATCTTAAGAGTTTTACAAAAACTATTCATAAATGTTGCTCTTCTATACATGTATGGTTTATTAAATTTTAGGGCAACAGAAATATTCATTTTCTTCGTACCAAACTGTATACAGTTGTCAAAATATCAGTTGTGGACGATTCTAT